AGTGGTTAAAGTGCGTGGCTGCTAACCAAAAGGTCATCAGTTCCAATCCACCAGCCTATTCTGCAGGAAAAAGATGTTACAGTCTGCTCTCCATAAAGATTTACAGCCATGGAAACCCTATAGGGCAGTCAGTTCTACTTTGTCCTATAGGGTCACTATGGGTCCATATTTGACTCGATGGATTGGGTTTTGTTCATTATTATTTATTTTTAAGGGGGGAGAAACTGTCTATATGGTCCAGCAGTCATTCTTTGTGGAATTTCATCGAGAATATAAAAATTGTTGACAAAAATGATAGATTAAGAAAGGTCGAGAAATCAGTTATTTCCATGTAGGAATGTTGTTGAGGTTAGGCGCCAGTTGCAACTCACAGTGACCCCGTGCACAACAGAGCAAAACACTGCCTGGTCCTGTGCCCTCCTCACAGTCATCGCTAAGCTTGAGCCCATCATTGCAGCCACTGTGTCAGTCTGTCTCCTTGAGGTTCGTCCCCTTTTTTGCTGACTCTCTACTTTAACTACCGTAATATCCATGCGGGAATGCTATTAACAATCATACATATTAAAAAAGTGGAACAAATTAAATTGAAATATAAACAAAAACATGAGACAATTGAAAATACCCTCTCTACTCCTCCTAAAATAATTACCTTGGTTTGAAAATTTACAGTTAACAATTCTAATAGAATTCACATTGAATTTAAAATTAAAATTGTATAGCCTCAGCATGTCATAGTACAACTGTTTGCAGGGCATCATCAACAACAACAACGAAAGACATGAACAGTCACTTGCAGGAAAAGGAGTGGCATCAAAACTCCTTCCCTTACTTGTACATGACTTTAAATCTTATTTATATTGGAAGATTCCATTTTCCCGTCCTTTTGTTTTTCTAAGAGGAGAAAGATGTATGCTACCTAGAATTACAGGAGCCCTGGTGGAGCTATGGTTGAACACTCCACTGCCAACAGAAAGGTTGCTGGTTGGAACCTACCCGCTGGCTCCACAAGAGAAAGACTTCTCTGCTCCTGTAAAGACTGCAGCCTTTAAAACTCTGAGAGGCTGTTCTGCTTTGTCCTGTGGGGCTGCTGGGAGTTGGCATCAACTTAACATTACCTAACAACAGCAGTTGTGAAAAAGATCTCCGAAGTTTTCTGTTCACTCCTTTACATGATGCATATGATGCACAAATCAGTTGCCACATTGCTGATAAAGCATGGCCTATCCCCTTTCCACAGGTTAGACTATATTGGATCAGTTTGTATTGAATTGGAGAGTTTCAGATCTTTCTGATATGGTCTTTCTACTTAATTTTCATAGCAAAAAAGAGATAGGTTATTTTAGTGTCAGGAATAAAATGACTCAACAGAACTACCTATAATGTAAGAATAAAAACTAAAGACTAGTTACTAGACTTCATTTTAAAACAAATATCTTTCATTTTTTAATCAATAAAATGAAATATTCTAAAGAGTAAAGTTCTTGCTTTATGTCATTATATCACTTTCTATTATATCACCCTAGTCAAAAATTTTTACTGATCATTTTTCATAATTATATCTTAAAGTAACTTGTATATTAATTTATGTGTTACGTAGATGATATATTAAATGCTGTTATCCCACATGTGTGCTGCTCAAGCCTATATTCTAGATAATAGTTACCATCCCTTCAGAGGGTTGTGACTAGGGTAAATACATCAAAACACTAAAAATATTCCAAGTATAATTTCTTATTTGATAATTCAGAAAATTATTTATTATATCTGTTACTCAGGAGTTCTGGTAGCATAGAGCCTAAAGCACATGACTGCTAACCAGAAGGCTGGCAGTTCAATCCTACCAGCCACTCCTCAGAAGGAAGATTGGGCAATCCATTTCCGTAGAGATACTGCCTCAGAAACGCAAGGAGGGGTTGCTGTGAGTCATAATCAACTCCACAGCAGTGAGTTTGGCTTTTCTTTTTTTTATTTTAGTTTATGTTACTCAGAGTTTTCATTATCAGTCTGGTTTTATGAACACCATTTATTGTAAATTAGAACTATGAAATGGAACTTAATAGAATGATTAATAAAACTTTTATTACAAGTGAGTTTACCATGATTACAATGTGCAATCATTACTATCTTTTCTTGTTTTCATTCAGTTAAAAATTTACTGAGCAGATCATCTGTGCAAGTCTTGGTGCTAGATCTGGTTAGTTATCAAAGTGTGGCATAATTTCTTCCAGAGTTCAATCCATAAAAGTAGAAGAACTTTTGTTTGACTTATCTGGAGAATCCATTATATAGTATCGTCTTCAGAATGTAATATATAAGCCTTAATAGACTTACTCTAAAAATGTTGTTTTCAATGCAGCATAAAAATGGTACTATAAAATAATCACCTCTCATACATGGAAATCTTACCCTGTTATTATGCATGTATTCAGACAATTCTTACCTGAGTGGACTGCATTGAAGTTGATTTTGTGTTTTTCTATATGCGCATTGTTGTGTTCTTGTGTGCCGTCGAGTCAATTCTGACTCAGTGACGCTATCGAACAGAGTAGAACTGCTGTACGGGGTTTCCTAGGCGGTAATCTTTATGGGAGATTCAGTGGAGAGGCTGGTAGGTTTGAACTTAACTATTTGACCTTAACTGTTTCTCTACCAGGCTCCCTTCATATGCTTATTCCATTCGTTTCTTCTATAAATAGTGATGAGTGAAACACAATGTGTGTTTCATGTAAGAAGGTAACTTGAATGATATTTATTTTCATTCAGCCCATATTATTCTTTCTAGCTCTTCAAATAAGTAGCCTTTTGTTGTTGTTATTCTAGACATCTTTCTAAAGAATTTGTGTTTTTTTTTTCCTAGAAGTCTATCTTACGTTGACAATAATCAACTTGATGTTGCATATTTAATATCTGTCTTCAGCCATCAATGCATAAAGTTAATGTTTTAATTGTCTTATGAGGTATCTTTCTGAAAACTTATCATAAAAATACATATTTCTACAATGTGCAGTGATAACATGACAGGAAAAGTACTGACAAATCAAGTCATTGAGTTCAGAAATTTCAATAGATAACTTACACTCAAATCCTTAAAAGCTGTGTAGCAGTAATGTTTGAAAGAAATTCTTAATACTTTACCTTGTAAAATTATTATATATTGAGATACATTTGTTTTAATTTAAAAGTTTTATCTTTAAAAATATATATTAAAAATGTCCAGTAAAGGCAAGAAAATAAAGTGATTTTGAAAGTTTCTGAATTAAATAAAGTCTTTGAATCTAATTTGATTATCAGTTTTTTTTTTTATTACAAGTCTACAAGGTATAATTGCTAATCTAACATTTTTCTTGACACAAATTTTTATCTGAATGTTTATCTTCCTATTTTTTAAAAAATAGTTACTGTGAGTAGATGCTAGATTTAAAGTAACACTTATTAAAACAATATTGAACGTTTATGATCACAAACTGTATCAAACAGCTAAAGTGAAAATAGCCAATTTTATGAAGAAATTGCTGAGAAATGCAAGTTGGTACATTTGAGAAAAAGAACATTATGTATGTATAAAGCAGTTGGTCAAAGAACTTTGATGGGAATGCGTTATGCATTTTTCTAGCTTTTGAGGTAAGTTTCTTATTATAGGAAACTAATAGCCTACATTTGGGCTATTGTTAATTAAGGCTCAGATTTGGGTTGTTTAACATCCTCTTGGAAAAAAGGACTAGAAAATATTGCCAACAGCTGAAAAAGCTAAAACCTTTTAAAATATGGAATAATTGGACAAAAAAACGTTAAGCATATTGAAATACACTTAGTATTAAAACAGAAAATGTTTATCACTCATTTACTCACTCATACATTTATTATTATTTTATGCAGTACCCCTTCCTATCACACATCCACAATGGATTTCATACCATAACTACAAGGTGTTAATTCCTGCGTTGAAAGGTGTATAACACAGCTGTTACCGATATTTATTCTTTCTACAGTGTTTAACATTCTGGCTTTTAAATTTATGTAATTATAATATCTGCACATTAATTTTGAAGCAGCAATTCAAAGCGAAAGAAAAATTCTTAGATAAGTATGTGTCTGATTATTTTAAATTAGTTGTATATTCATTTTTTAATTCTCAATATCTCTCTTTGTGCAGCGGTACCTACCTATTGACACTATAGAATCTGGCATCCATCCAATATATTTTTGCAGCGCTCACTATATTGAAATGCTACTGAAGGCTGAGGTGCCACTTGTGTTTTCAGCTTTCCATATGTCTGGTTTTGCACCATCACAGGTAATCTATAAAGGGAAGAGTAATGTTTCTTCAACTCCTAAGATCTCAGTGTCCTTAAAGAAAATTATATTTTTATGAGTATCTAGATCTTTGTGAGTATTTAAATCCCGATAGTCTTTTCCCCTGGGCTTGTTATAATATATAGGTTTCCTTTATAGTATATCCTTGACATTCACAGATTTCAAGTTTAGTTTTAGCTCTTCAGGGACATACCAGGAAAAAACCCAAACCGATTGCCATCAACTCTATTCCAACTCACAGTGATCCTATAGGATAGAGTACTTGTGCCCATAGGGTTTCTGAGGCTGCGACGTTTGCAGAAGCAGACTGCCACATCTTCTTTCCATATAGCAGCTAGTGGGTTCAAACCACTGACCTTTTGGTTAGCAGCTGAACATTTTAACCACTGTGCCACCTTTCTCAAAGTTGATGGTATCTAGACTATTAAATGGAGCTGATCATACCTACGTAATTAAGGCTAATGTAATGATCAAGTGAGGTAACTTAGTGCAAGAATTCTTGTCAATACCCTAGGTTTCTGGTAAGTGAGATACTGCGTCTTGTTGAACAAGAATGTCAGCTGATTAACCTGTGCCTTACAGTTAGTTGCGCTGTTTTATAATTTGGAGATCTCTTTTGGGAAATGATGTAATTAAAAATGTTTATCAATTTATTTGAAAGTTGAAAAGACAATTGATTTGTAATTTAACTACAGGATACATTTGATTCTTCATGAAGATTAATTCAGAGGAAAACCATGATGCACAGACATATTTATGGGGATGTGTTTGGGTGTCTGGGATGATCTAACTCTTTATCCAGGACCTTGACCTGTTCGGTACACAACCAGTATAGCCATATGCAACAACCACATGTATATCCCTCATATATATAGGCCGTTCTTTATTGGTGAAAGTATGGATTGTTTTTTCACTGTATTGTTGTTCTTGTTGTTGTTAGATGCCATCAAGTTGGTTCTGACTCGTAGTGACCCTGGGAACAACAGAATGACACACTTCTCAGTCCTGTGCCATCCTCACAGTTGTTGCTATGTTTCAGTCCATTTTTGTAGGCCCTGTGTCAGTCTATGTCATTGAGGGTCCTTTTCTCTGACCCTCATTTTACCAAGTGAAATTTTCTTTCGCCAGGGACCAGTCCCTCCTCATAACAGTCCAAAGCATGTGAGATGAAATCTCACTATCCTTGTTTCTAAGGAGCTTTCTTCCAAGATAGATTTGTTTATTCTTCTGGTAGTCCATGGTAAATTTAGTAATCTTGGCCAAAGCTATAATTAAAATGCATCAATTCTTTGGTCTTCCTTATTCCTTTTCCAGTTTTCCAATGCATATAAGACAGTTGAAAATACCGTGGACTATCATTATTCCCACCCCTGAAAATGTTATTTAACTATTTCTTCCTATTCAAGACTTTTAATTGTCATAATTATGCCCATTTCAAGTTGGACATTAGAATTTAGATGAGATTAAGATTGCTTTTATGTTAAACTGTAAATTACTTTGAAAATAGTATGCCCTTATTATACTCATTCTTCCTGTCTGGGAACATAGAAAGCTCTTCCATTTGTTTGCTCTACATATTTTATTAAAGTTGCATTGTTTATTTTTTCTGTTTAGGTGTGGTTCATCTCTCATTTCAGATATTACTTGTAAATGTGGCTTGAGATCTCTTTTTCAATTTTATTTTCTCTTTGATTATTGTTAAAATTTAGTAGTTAGCTTTTATATTCATTATGTTATATGACTTTTTTTTCCAGCTGGGTGTTATTTTTCTTTTTTCCCCCCCAACTTTCTAGTAATTATGAACTGTATTTCTGCTCCATTTTTTTAAAAAATTATCTAATCCTTTCATAAGGAGCTCTGGTGGCATAATGCCTAAGGCATTTGACTGCTAATCAGAAGGTTGGCTGTTCAAACTCGCCAACCACTCCTCAGAAGGAAGATGGGGCAATCTATTTCCATAAAGATTTGCCACCTCAGAAGCCCAGTGGGGGTCACTGTGAGTTGTACTTGACTCCATGGCAGTGAGTTTGGTTTGATTTATTTATTTACTCAGAGCTTTCATCGTAATTCTGATGGCTCACTTGTTTTAGACCTGATTTAATGGGAAATAGTCCAGTACTTCACCATTAAATAGTCATTATTTATTTAAAAGAATGATTTCATGTCATGGAAGAATTCTTCTAGTCTTTATTTGTAAAGTGTTGGGTTTTGTTTCCTTTCCTTTAAGTGTTGAATATTTTCAAATGATTTATAGTTAAGAATATCTTGATTTTGGAACCCCTTTTTGTGACATATTATTCATAAATTTCTTAATAACAAGCTATCCTTGCATTCTGTTGGATTTGTCCTTCTGGAAATCCTTCTCTCTTAATTGACCAATAGTTCTTATTTATGTCATGATAGGTGCTTTCATAATGATTTTCAAGAGATCTCATATCATTTATTATATTCACTTGCTTCAGGTTCCATTGCCACCACCAGTAGTAATACCAAACAAACAAACAAAAAAAAAAAAACCTCACTGCCATTGAATCAGTTCTGACTCTTAGCGACCCTCATTGGATTTCTAAGATGGTAAATCTTTATGGAAGTAGATTACACCATCTTCCTTCTGTGAAGTGGCTGCAGTTTTGAACCACCAACCTTCTGGTTAGCAGTTAAATGCCTTAGGCACTATGCCCCCAAAGCTCCTTACTACCAGTAACAAACAGTATGTTCAAATTGAGATTTCCTTAAGGTAATAAGAAAACCAAATATGGCAATAAATTGTATGCAGTAGAAAGGAAAATTCTTTCTCAGCTGATTCTAGCTCTTCCTGTATTTAGCACAAACACTTTTTTGAACTGTGAATCATAAAAAATTTAATTCTGGTGGGAAGAAGTTGCTTAAATATTTAGTATAAGCTTAGTAATAAATTTTATCTATTATTCTAAAAATCCAAACCAGGGAGCTATAGATTCCTTTTTGGCTATTCTGATCTTGATTATTAATATGATGTCTATTCTTTAACACCTCCAATCATACATGAATTCTACCCCATATACTTTAATTTAAACATTCACTACCAAAGACTATGGGGGAAAAAAAATGCAGTACCTTAAGCGCCACTCTATCAATTTAATAATTAAAAGGAAAAATACCATAATTTTATTTATCTGGTTGAAACTCCTTATAAGTAGCAAACTTTATAAATAAAAATCACATGCATTATTTTTGGATAGTAATACTATTTTCTTAAATTAGCCAATGTGAAAAAAATGTCTTTTTAATGACTTGCTATATTCACTAATCTGTTTTGTGCCTTAACTATGTATCATTGTTGATATTGTTTGCCATTATTATTGCTAATTATAAAACATGAAAACAGCTTTTAGGTAATTATTATATATGATTAATTAGTTACTTAAATACAATTTAGTGTTTCAAAACTTACTTGCTTTGGTCTAATTAGAAGCTGTGCTTTTTGGAGTTGTATATTTTCAGTCACTTAGGGATGATGAATGAAGAATTTGTGGTCATTTTGCTAAATGAAGTATACTGATCTCTAGAGGTATATTAATGAGCTCAACTAGAATATAAAAAATCAAATGTAGTCAGAAATGGATGTTTGTTGATGAATGTTTCTTTTTTTTTTTATTTATTTTAAGAGCTTGTTTTACATTCAACGTAACGTGTACATTTAGTTTCATTCTCCATTCGCCATGTCCAACCGTAACCTAGTCTCCTCCCCTCCCTACCCTGTAACCCTCCCCCTGTGCCTCTCATAATTATGCACTTCTGTTTGTCCTGCATTTCCTGAGTTTAAATGTTGGTCCTTTGGTGTCCCATGGTCTATTGCTCTAAGGGATGTATTACCATAGAGTATGTGGGTGCATCATATTGGGTTGAATGGTCTGCGTGTACATCTTGTTAACTGTTGGGCTGAGAGCCCGCTGCCTGGGGAGAGTTTTATTCCAGGCACAGAATGTATTCCAGAGCCTTAGTATTGGGAGTCTCACCAGATTTCATCTGGCCACTAATTCTGGTCATTATTAAGTTTTTGGATTTCGTTCCATGTTTTCCCTCCCACCCTATCAAGAATCTCCAGATTTGATCCTTTCCTGAGTGGTTGGCATTGGTAGCTGGGCACCATCCAGTTCTTCAGATCTCGAGGGCCATCGTGTCCTAGGGTTGATTGCTTCTAAATGCCCTTTTTTTTTTTTTTTT